ACAATCTCAAATAACAGCACAATACTGTAGTTGTAACACAATACAAGTTGTAGACTGTTTTTCTATTAACTTTCTCATAAAATGTTCATGGAAATAAATGTAGTACACATCTGATTTCTATGTTCTATGTCCATGACAAGACTACTTCACAAATTTTGAATTTATTTTCTTTTTAGTACAAGGTTAGTTTCTGATAGTATAAAGATAGCACATTACCCTAACAACATAATCTAATTTCTCTCTGTGACCTACTTGGATTATGACTACTCTGCACCAACAATGTTAAAAGGCTTTTATTCGGTGTATAGAAAGTTAAAATGAGTTATCTTAAAATGAATGAGATTAGAATTGGATTAATTAGATTTAAAAAATTACAGGCATGCCAATTAGTAATTGTACACCATATGCCAACAAGCTTTAGTGCAGCAAGCAGTCAGTCAGACAAGAATCTTGCTTTAGGATGTTTTGCATTGTAAGCCAACACTGGTCGGGCCCTGAAGCCAGTAGCAGGTATTAAGCTAATTGACGAAGGAAAGTTTTGCAGGTACTTGATCAATCCAGGCTGCATCGGGTTAGGGATTCTGTGCTATATTCAGGGTCACCTAACAGTGATGTTCCAATTCTGCTAAGACACACTACACCAGATTCTGAAGTTTTTATTCAGTGTTTTGCTAGTTTGTAATTGTGGTGTTTATAGGTGTTGCATATTGTAAGCGATTCACATGTGGTGAATGTAATTGCAGAAGTACAGTATTTCTGAAATTGTGTATAGCAGGACATGAAGTGCACACATTACAGGAAATGAGAGAGGGAAAGATATCGTAATCCTCATCTGTCTTTAGATGCAGAACCACCAATAGCAAAGTAACAGCAGTCTGGCTCAGATGATGTAATGCTCTGTGGGTGGAAGAGATGAATAATTGATACTAAGCCCACATGGTCAGGGTGCACCTTTGACTCTCCTGGGCTGCATGGACTGCTTTAGTGAATCATTAAAGACCGCAGGTTCCAGATGAGATATGCATGTCTACCCTTGCAAAAAGGTTGAAGCTGATTAAAGGACATCAACAAATAATGTTTTGGATTTTTACCCACCTCCAAAACAGCAGTCTTTGTACAGGTTCAAAGATGAAGTAATGTGCAAAGGGGTAATTACCCTTAAGCCTCAATTTAACCAAAGCATTCATAATTCTTTTTTTATAGTTTGTGAAAGTTTAAAAGAAAAATTAGCATTTAAGTTTCAGTGTTATTATTACAGTTGTATGGGTAGTATTGTTAACTAACATTATCCTTAAGAGCCTTCCCAGTGAACTTTTGCTGCCATACTGTCTACTGTTTCTGCAGGTAGCAGTGAACTGAGGTGCGATGAGTTGAGGAAAAAATGTGAAGAACTGGAAGCCCAGCTGAAAGCCAAAGAGGAGGAAAACGTGGAGCTCATGAAGGAGCTGGAGCAGAAAAACGCCATGATCTCAGTCCTGGAGAACACGATCAAGGAGAGGGAAAAGAAATACCTGGAGGAGCTGAAAACGAAAAGCCATAAACTGAACATGCTGTCGAGCGAGCTGGAGCAGCGGGCCAGCACCATCGCCTACCTGACCTCCCAGCTGCACGCCACCAAGAAGAAACTGATCGCCACGTCGAGCGCCACGTC